TTCTTCTATCTCTTGGAAAACTTTAAGGAGAATGGGTATTATGTCTTCTCCGTATGTCTGATAAAACTCTGCAGTAAATCCATCTGGCCCAGGAGTTTTGCTCTTGGGTAGTTTTTTGATTACCGATTCCATTTCTTTGCTGGTAATTGGTCTGTTTAGATTTTCTGTTTCTTCCTCGGTCAGTCTTGGAAGGTTGTATTTTTCTAGGAAGTTGTCCATTTCTTCTAGGTTTTCCAGCTTGTTAGCATATAGCTTTTGTAGTATTCTCTAATAATTCATGTATTTCTGTGGGGTCCATCGTGATCTTTCCTTTCTCATTTCTGATTCTGTTGATGTGTGTAGATTCTCTTTTTCTTTTTATAGGGGCTTATCTATTTTGTTTATTTTCTCAAAGAACCAGCTCTTGGTTTCACTGATTTTTTCTATTGTTTTATTCTTCTCAATTTTATTTATTTCTTCTCGGATCTTTATTATGTCCCTTTGTCTGCTGACTTTAGGCCTCATTTGTTCTTCTTTTCCCAATTTCAATATTTGTGACTTTAGACTATTCATTTGGGATTGTTCTTCCTTCTTTAAATATGCCTGCATTGCTATATACTTTCCTCTTAAAACTTGATCTCTTTTTTGATTTGGTCATTGATCCATTGACTATTTAGGAGCATGTTGTTAAGCCTCCATGTGTTTGTGAGCCTTTTTGCTTTCTTTGTACAATTTACTTCTAGTTTTATACCTTTGTGGTCTGAGAAGTTGGTTGGTAGGATTTCCATCTTTTTGAATTTACTGAGGCCTTTTTGTGGCCTAGTATGTGGTCTATTCTGGAGAATGTTCCATGTGCACTTGAGAAGAATGTGTATCCTGTTGCTTTTGGATGTAGAGTTCTGTAGATGTTTATTAGGTCCATCTGTTCTAGTGTGTTGTTCAATGCCTCTGTGTCCTTACTTATTTTCTGCCTGGTGGATCTATCCTTTGGGGTGAGTGGTGTGTTGAAGTCTCCTAAAATGAATGTGTTACATTCTATTTCCTCCTTTAATTCTGTTAGTATTTGTTTCAGATATGTTGGTACTCCTTTATTGGGTGCATATATATTTAGAATGGTTATATGCTGTTGGACTGAGCCCTTTACCATTATGTAATGTCCTTCTTTATCTCTTGTTACTTTCTTTGTTTTGAAGTCTATTTTGTCTGATACTAGCACTGCAACACCTGCTTTTTTCTCCTTGTTTCCATGAAATATCTTTCTTTGTCTCTTGACTTTTAGTCTGTGCATGTGTTTGGGTTTGAGGTGAGTCTTTTGTAAGCAGCATATAGATGGGTCTTGCTTTTTCATCCATTCTATTACTCTGTGTCTTTTGATTGGTGCATTCAGTCCATTTACATTTAGGGTTATTACTAATATATACTTATTGCCGTTGCAGGCTTTAGGTTCATGGTTACCAAAGTTTCAAGGTTAGCTTCTTTACTATCTTACTGTCTAACTTAACTCACTTACTGAGCTATTATAAACACAGTCTGATGATTCTTTATTTCTTTCCCTTCTTATTCCTCCTCCTCCATTTTTGTATGTTAGGTGGTTTGTGTGTGTGTGTGTGTGTGTGTGTGTGTGTGTGCTCTTTTGTGTTTCCTTTGACTGCTTTTGTGGGTAGTTGATTTTAGTTTTGGCCTTTAGTTAGTATTTGATTGTTCCACTTTCTTTGCTCTGATTTTATTTTCTCTGGTGACCTCTCTTTAGCCTTAGGAGTGCTTCAATCTAGAGCAGTCCCACTAGAATACCCTGTAGAGGAGGTTTGTGTGAGGCAAATTCCCTCAACTTTTGCTTGTCTAGGAATTGTTTAATCCCTCCTTCATATTTAAATGATAATCATGCTGGATACAGTATCCTTGGTTCAAGGCCCTTCTCTTTCATTGCATTAAATATATCATGCCATTCTCTTCTGGCCTGCAAGGTTTCTGTTGAGAAGTCTGATGATAGCTTGATGGGTTTCCCTTTGTAGGTGACCTTTTTTCTCTCTCTGGCTGCCTTTAATACTCTGTCCTTGTCTTTGATCTTTGCCATTTTAATTATTATGTGTCTTGGTGTTGTCCTCCTTGGGTCCCTTGTGTTGGGAGTTCGGTGTGCTTCCATGGTCTGATAGGCTATTTCCTCCCCCAGTTTGGGGAAGTTTTCAGCAATTATTTCTTCAAAGACACTTTCTATACCTTTTTCTCTCTCTTCTTCTTCTGTTACCGCTAAAATGCGGATATTGTTCCATTTTGATTGGTCACACAGTTCTCTTAATATTGTTTAATTCTAGGAGATCCTTTTTTCTCTCTCTGTGTCAGCTTCTCTGCAGTCCTGTTCTCTGATTTCTATTCCATTAATGGCCTCTTGCATCTCATCCATTCTACTTTTAAGTTCTTCCAGATATTGTTTTATTGCTGTATTCTCCCTCCTTAGCTCTTGCATATTTCTCTGCAGGTCCATCAGCATGGTTATGACCTTTATTTTGAATTCTTTTTCAGGAAGATTGGTTAAATCTATCTCCCCAGATTCCCTCTCACTGGAGGATGTCTGGGTTATTCTGGTCTGTATCAAATTCTTCTGCCTTTTCATGGCGATAGAGGTAATTGTGCAGAACTGGCGTGTGTCGGCTGTGTGAACGTCCCTTCTTGCTGGTTTGTGGCCTTCCTCTCCTGGGAGAACGGCGACCCCCTAGTTGCTTGTGCTGGGCAGTTGCATGCAGACGGGGTCTGATTCTTGCCCGGCCACTGTGGAGTAGTAAGCTCCATGCGGTTGCTGTGGGCGTGCCTGCTTTCACACTGCTGCTCTGCTATGGCAGGGCCGCACCAGAGGGGGAACAGGTGGGAGGCTGTTTATTGCCATGAGGGGCCTCAGAGCTGCAATGCCGCCCAGGGAGTTAGGGCGCCCAGAGCTCCCCGGGATTCCCAGCTGCTGTGCTGAGTGTCCTGGGATGCTTCCTTCCAGCTGTGAGGCCCCTGTCCCTTTAAGACTTTCAAAAAGCACTCGCTTTACTTTTGTCCCAGGGGCACCAGCTGTTGGGACCTGCTCACAGGTTTTACTGTTCTGTTTCCCTAGTATCTAGCACATTCTGCATTGTGTGTCTGCGCTCCCTGTGCAGATGGCTAGGGCTGGGCATTTAGCAGTCCTGGGCTCCCTCTCCCTCCCTGCTCTGACTCCTCTCCTCCCACTGGGAGCTGGGGTGAGGGGCGCACTCAGGTCCCACCGTTCCGCGGCTTGTATCTTATCCACTTCATGAGGTGCTGGGTTCTCACAGGTGTAGATGTAGCCTGGCTGTTGTCCTGTATCTTCTGGTCTCTCTTTTAGGAATAGTTGTATTTGTTGTATTTTCAAAAATATGTGTGTTTTTTGGAGGAGATTTCTGCTTTCCTATTCACGCCACCATCTTGGCTCCTCCCTTGGGCTTAAGATTCTTTCAAAACTTTCAAGAATGGGGCAAAGGGCAGGGGTGGGAGTTAGGCTAGGCCTGACTTATGGTCTCATGATGTCTCTCACCAGCAAGAGACATTATGTCACTATCCACAGTCAGTCCTCTAGATAATTCTGTAAGATAAACTCCACACAAAGAATTTATCAGTACAGTTCCTCCCTAAGACAGTGGTTTCCCTCAAGCATGGGGAACATATCAGTTAAAACTGCTTGCCCTGTCCTAAGATAAGGTGGGTTAGTGTCTGATTACCAAAGAACATGTTAGGAATCGTACCTCCCTACTCCCTGGTTTTTAAAAATGGAATCTTAGCCTTAAGATTGGAGTCCCTTCTATTTTTAGTATATTGTTTGTATCTCTGGATTTTTCATCATAGGAAGGAAAGGTTATGATGCTTGTCCCATGTCCTTGCCCTACCTCATTACCATATGTCACATCTACTAAAATTTAATGCATGCCTTATATGTCAATTCCACCATCGTACATGCCCTATGTGTCAAATGAACTGTCAATTCCGGTTGGACATATAGAACTAACAGAAATTAGTACATATATTCTACAAAAAGGCGTTTACAAAGTTATTCATGGCAGCATTGTTCATATAGCCCCAAGCCAGAAATGACCCAAATGACAAAACATAGAGTAATTATGATAACCAGATCACTAGTTAGACAATCATTTCTCCTTCAGGTGGGGAACAGGGAGAGGTCAGCTGGAATGCTGAATTTTCTCAGGGGACAAACTCTAGGTCTAAGACAGGGTGGCAAATAAAGGAGACTATAAGTTTAAGGAGAAATGGTAAATTTATGGGGTCCACTTAGCATGTTGTAAGACTGTAACTGTTATAAAAGCAATAGTCTTTAAGAACCTTAGTTCTTGTTTAATATTCGTCACTAACTAGCCTTGTAACCCTTGTTCAAGTCCTGGGTTGAATTCAAATTTTCTTTATCTCAAAATTAGGGAGAAAATGCGTCCGGAATCTGGGATTCCGGGCAGTCCCAAGTGCCCTGACAAAAACACTTTTTGGTTCAGATTAATGGAGCTTTGTTGCCACAGGACAGTAGCTAGCAGGCACAGCTACGGGCCCACTTCTGCCCGCGGATCGTTTCCGCGGCTGCAAGGCAGCTATTTTAAGGCATGAAAGGCTGAGATCAACCTTCTCTATTCCAGCCTATCCGACTCCGCCCTTCCCCTAAGAGTGACCCTTTCAGCAAAGGAGGCACCGTAAGTTATGTACCTGAACGCCCTATTGTGAACCCTTGTCTGTGGTCCAACACATTCTAGTAGTGACAAATGCAGTTGCTTATACTCTGACCAACTGTCCGTGCAGTTCTATTGAGGATTCCAGTGTGGACGCACCCAGACTAGATGCGCAACTCCTAACGCGGTCGGGCCGAACAGTTTAGCGCGGGAGTTTAGGAATAGTTCAGCCAGGCCACGCTAGTGCGCCTGCGCTCTGCCGAATGTGGCTGTGCGTGCGCAGCCCTGTGGGGTTGGAGACCGCTGAGTCGCTCTGTCGGAAGAGGAGGAAGGAGACACAGCGGGACGCGGTGACGACTGGCTGCCGGAAATGATTGGCTTGCGGAAGGAGCCGTTCCAGATCGCGGCTTTCCTGTGGGCAGAACCACTGAGGAGGGGGTCGGGCCTCCTTGCCCGTCTGTCGGGGCGGAGCCGGAGGGGCGGTTGAGTGGGAGAACTGTTTGGTGGGCGCGGGAACGAGCCCCGTATGTCCGCCTAACTCCAGCGCGGGGCCCGAATTGTGGGAGTGCTGGGAGCGCGGGGTTTCCCGGGGAGAGTTCTCTTCCGGCTCCGCGCGGAGAGCCTGGCCGGGGGCCGGGGGACTGACCCGCTGAGGGTAAACCTGCGGAGTGGGGGCGGTTCCGGCATCCTGGGCCTCCGGTCTCCGGTGTGGGAGCCCCTGCCCTGGGTCTGAGTCTGGGCGTCTGGGTGGCGCCCTTGACTATGTGTTTTTAAAATCTTAGGCGGCTCTGATGCCCGGCCAAGGTTGAAGCGCAGCCCGCAGTTTCAGGCCCCGCTGACTGGAGCTCCGCGAGGCTCCCTCGGGGTCTGGTATCCCCGGCGGGAGNGGGGGCGGTTCCGGCATCCTGGGCCTCCGGTCTCCGGTGTGGGAGCCCCTGCCCTGGGTCTGAGTCTGGGCGTCTGGGTGGCGCCCTTGACTATGTGTTTTTAAAATCTTAGGCGGCTCTGATGCCCGGCCAAGGTTGAAGCGCAGCCCGCAGTTTCAGGCCCCGCTGACTGGAGCTCCGCGAGGCTCCTTCGGGGTCTGGTATCCCCGGCGGGAGCGGGTGCGGGAGGGCGGGGCGCCTCTCAGGTCTGGCTTCTGTCGGATGCCCCGCGCTCGCTAGGGTTGGGTGGCCGACGCGGGCTGGCCCGTGAGCGACAAGGGCGGACGTCCCTTCCCCTCGGCGTCCGCTCCGGAGGAGCCGTGAGACTGGGCGTTTGTGGGGCAGGACAGGAGGACGGCGGCAGCTGGGCTCTGAGGACTGCTCCTGCGAGTTTCCGTGAATTTGCTTTGTTGACTGGAGGAACCTGGCTGGGTTCTTACGGCGCTCAGATTAGTTTTCTCAGTTCAGTTGAAGACAAGTTCAGGTTACTTTGGATTTGACTAAATATCTGGTTGTCTTTTATAAGCCAGTTCTTAGGATGGTCTAAATCGATAGCAGGACTGGTTTATTGAACTTGATTTTTTTTTTTAATTTTGGCGTTTTGATAGATTGCTTTACCGTACCCCTAAATTCCAGTGATAGGTTACATGAGTCCTTTATATGGAGTTTAGAGAATCTTTGTTTTTAAGGTTTATTGAGATGTAATTTACATACCAATAAAGTTCACCTGTTTTAAGGGTACCATGCATGTTTAGAGTTGTACAACTGTCACTATAATGGAATGAGAGAATCTTTGGCTTTTTTTTCTCCTGATAATTTACTACTCTCTAGACGTGAACGTTTTAGAGATATAGTGTAATGAAGAGCCTCTGAAAATGTAAACTCAAATTGTGTTATGCCTGAGCAGTTGAGATGAAGAGAATTAAAGCAGAATTAAACAGTAAGTTGCAGGTGGTGAAATTTGTGCATTGCAATACCAGTTAGATAACTATTTCAACTGTCTTGTTGGCTGAGGAATATGGCCTAAACCCCATTTTACAGGTGAGGAGCTAGACTTGGAAGGATAAGTTGCCTAAAGCTGCATAGCTGTGCCTAGGCTCATCCCCAATCCTGAATACTTTATCTCTAAGTTTATTGACTTTCCCACCTAATCAACCTGGTTTTCAATTATAATGTCTATGTATGACTTGTACTATGTATGTATGACCTCTATAGTTCATTTACTGAGCAAATAATTAGTGAATAGCCACAGTGTCTAGAACACAGAACACTGCGCTTAGATGCTAGAAGTTCTGACCCTCAGCTAATGCTCTGGTAGGGGAGATAATAACCAATTAAAGAAATACATCCTCTAATTTTAGATATTGACATATGCTATTTTTTAAAAAAATAGGCAAACAGAGTGTAGGGAATGGTGGTGGGAGGCAGGAACTGTCTTGAGCAGAAACCTTAAAGAAGAGAGCAAGTGGGGTTTAAGAAAAAGCAAGAGCAACTGGAAAGATGGAGTTGCCATTTACTGAGTTGAAATAACACTGTGGAAGGACCAGGTTTTAGGGCTAAGATTGCGAATTCAGCTTCTGATGTTTTAGATGTTTGTCAGACACCCAATTGGACATATGGTATTTAAATCCATGAGGTCTGATTATGATCTGACCAAAGCAATGGGTGTAGGAAGAGGACCAAAGACTGATTGATCCCTAGGATACTTTAATGTTTAGAATTCAAGGAGATGAGCAGGAACCAGGAAGGAAGATTGAAAAGGAGAGTTCAGTATGTTAGAAGGAAAACCAGGAGAGTATATAGCCTTAGAAGACAATTGAAGAAAGTGTTTTGTGGAAAAAGAGGTAATTGACAACATACCAAATGAAAACAGACTGGCCCATATGTAAAAGAATAAAAATAAAACCTTTCAATACAAATATACTGGCTGTTACTACAGAAACAATTTTTCCTCTTATTTGAGGAAGTGTACATTTTTACAACCTTCTTGAAGGGCAGTTTGATGTTATAAAAAATTTTAATGTGTGCTTCCTTGACCAAGTAATTTTACTTCTAGGAGTTTAATCCTACAGAAATATTTATACATGTACATAAAGTTGTATGTATAAAGATGTTTATCACAGCACTGTTTATAATTACATACAAATTTCCATCAAGACAGATGTAGTTTTAAAGGGAGGATGTAAATGTGTATGTATGAAAGATAGCAGCTATAGACTGAATTTTGTCTCCCCAAATTCATATGTTGAAACCCTAACCCTCAACATGATGGTATTTGGAGAGGGGACTTTTAGGGGAGAATTAGGTTTAGATAAAGTCATGAGAGTGGTGCTACCATAAAGGGATTAGTGTTTTATAAGAAGAGGAAGAGAGACCTGAGCCCTCTTCTCTATGCCGTTATGAGGACTCTACAAGCCAGGAAACAGGTGCTTAACAGGCAATGAATTGACTGGCACCTTGATCCTGGAGTTCTTAGCCTCTAGAACTGTAAGAAATAAATGTGTTTAAGCCATCCTATGGTAATTTGCTATAGTATTCCTAGCTGACTAAGATAGCCATGTTAAATGATAATTATCTAATAGAATATATAGTATAATCTCATTTATCTTAATATATCCATAGTAGACCTGTTTAATCACACTATCAAAAGTTATTCCCTTATTTACCTTCCCTGATCACTGTTACATTACCTTTTCCTATCTGTAGCACTTACTACTATCTGTATTTTATTAATTTTTATAATTGTTTACTGTCTTTCTTGTCATAGTAGAAGATAACTTCTATAAGATTTTTGCCTCTTATATTTCTATCCCCAGGACTGGGGTATATAATTTTTAAAAACATTGTTTTAGGGAAAAAGCCCAAATACACAATATTCCTATAGTGGTTTTAAAATGAGGTTACAAATCTTTCATATTCTTTATTCAAAGAGTGGTGGCTGACTCCATCTTGAGTATGGGCTAGACTTAATGACTAGCTTTTGATGAGTAGAATATAGTGCAAGTGGAGGTATGTTGATAGATGATAAAAGGCGTCGTGGCTTCCTCCTTACTCCCTCTCTTGGATTGTTCATTCAGGTAAGCCAGCTGCCCTGTCATGAGAACATATCAAGCAGTGCTTTGGAGAGGCCCTGTGGTGAAAAAACAGGCCTACTTTCAACAGCCAGCGGAGGAAACTGAGGCTTCCTTCCAACGGTCATGGGAGAAGCCATCTTAAAAACATTTTTTTTTTCATTCCCATTCAAGCCTTTAGATAAATGCTCCTCCAGGTGACAGCTTGACAGCAATGTACAGGATACCATCGGCCAAATCACTCAAGTAAACTACTCTCAAAATCCTGTTAGATTATACATGTTTTATTTTTAAGTCGCTGTGCTTTTGGTGTAATATTATAGGCAGTAATAAATACAATTCTATGTAAATACTACATGCTATTGTTTTAATTAATAATTATTAGTCTCATTCCTGAGAAAATAACTGAATTTCTTCCTGCCTTAGTTTTATCATATATAAAATAAAATCGTTGGACAGTCCTTTTTAATTCCATTGTCACCTTAGAATTACGTGAGAACCTTTTAAAAAATATATGCCTAGTCCCTACCCTGGTTGAGTTAAGATCAATCAGAACTCAGGGTAGGGCACAGGCATGTGTATTTTCTAAAGTTCTCTTTGATTCTAATACACGGGCCTGGTTGAGGCCTTCTGGATGACCTTGAATTTCTTCCTATTGATTCTACTACCCTGATACATAATTGGGAGATACTATCACTGCTGTAAAGGCACTTCCCTGGAATTAGGATCCCAGTTCTTGAGATGAGTAATCTTTGCTTCAGGAATAGAAGACTTGTCCAAAATATGATTTTCACATTTGCTGGAATTTTTACTCTTGGTGGGATCATTTTCTTAATGCTTTTCTAGTGCTTGATGAAATTTACTTTGTATTTTCATTTTATTAAAACAGAAAGTATAGGGCTGCAAGTGTTATTGGATCACTTAAAAAGTCCCCCATACCTCTCTTTTAGACTTTATGAGCATATTCATCTAGCAACAGTTGCTGCTGCTGCTCCTTTTTTTTTTTTGGCAACAGCTTTTTTGGTGTATAAGCACTTTACCACTCAGTAAAAACATTCATTTTAGAGATAAGTCTCTTCTGGGATACATCTTGGATTTGGGATTTTGTCTTGGACCTGATGTTATAAAAATTTTGTGAATTTTACTTCCTACTAGATGAAGCATAGCACACTGTATCCTAGTTTTGAGTTTTGATAATTCCTATGAATGTGTACAAAGTAAGAGTAGGAGTCACATACTAACCTAAAATCTTAATAGAATAATTGAGTTACACTACTGTTTTTTCATGTTTATTTCAAGGTGCCAAGTAATTTGCATTTTATTTTAATAATGCTTGGGAGATAGTACTATCATTATCTATATAAATGATAAGCCAGTTGTAAAACTCATATGCAGACTCAAAAGACCTAGAATAACCAAAACATCTTTGAAAGACAGTAGCAAAGTTAAAGAATTAACATCACCTGATTTCAAGATTTATTTAAAGCTACACTAATAAATAATACAGTGTAATACTGGCATAAAGATAAATGAAAAGATCAATTGAATGGAATAGAAAATCCAGAGACACCCACGCATATATGGACATCTGGTTATTTTTATAAAGGTTGAAGGACAATTCAGTGGAGAAAGGGTAGTGTTTTCAATAAATGGTTCTGGAACAATTGGATCCGTATGCCAAAAAGAGAAAGTGCACCTTAATCCATATATTGTAGATTACATACAAAAATGAACTGAAAATGAATCATAGGCCTAAATATGAGAGCTAAAATTTATAACTTTCTAGAAGAAAATACCAGAGAAAATCTTTGTGACCATGGATTAAAAACTTCTTGGCATACATCACCAAAATCATGATCCTTAAAAAAATATTGATAACTTGTATTTCATCAAATTAAAAATATTTGTTCTTTGAAAGATAATGTTTAGAGAATGAAAAGACAAGTCACAGACTGAGAGAAAATACTTGAAAATCACATCTGATAAAGGACTTGTATATAGGACATATAAAGAAATACAAAAACTCAATAGCATAGCAATTGCCCAAATAAAAAGTGGGCTAAAGATTTGAATTGGCATCTCACCAAAGAAGTTATATACATTTCAAATAGCCTGTAAAAATATGCTCAACATCATTAACCATTAGGGAAACAATTAAAACCACAGTGAGATACCATTACGCACCTATTAGAATGGCTAAAAATTAAAAAGTGTTGACATGGATGTGGAAGAACTGGAACTCTCATATACTGCTGATGGAAATGTAAAAAAGATAACATCCATTTTAGAAAGCAGTATGGCAGTTTCTTAAAAGGTTAAACATAGGCCTACCCTGTGATCTAGCAACTCTGCTAGGTATGTACCCAAGAGAAATGAAAGCATATCCATTCAAAAATTTTTGCACAAATGTTCAAACAACTTTATAATAGCCAAAACCCAGAAAAAACTCAAATATTATTAATGGATAAATCAAACTATTCTATCCATACAAAAGAATACTACTCAGCATTAAAAGGAAATTAATTATTGATATATACAACATTATAGAGGAACGTATAGTGATTTCTCAGTAAATGTTAGCTATTATTATTGGTAACATTTCTTGGGGAAGGTGATTCAACATTTGTAGAAGCTGGATGAGAAGGGGATGAGATTAATGACTGGGAGATAAGTTAGGAAGCAATTGTAATCCCTTTGGTAAGAGATGATAAGAATTTAAATTGTAGCTGTAGCAGTGTGAACAATGATAAGGAGGCTGAACTGTAGAGACAGAGTTCAGTAGAAGCGAAAGGAGCTGATGGCCAGTTGGATGTGTTGGGTGACAGAGAAGACCCAGGAAATCTCTTAAAAGTAGTCCCTTTTGGAGAATCTTCTATTAATTTAATGATGCTTCTGTTCCTCAAAATATTTTTGGAACACTCTTTTTTAAACTATTTAGGGACCTGAAGGTACATTTATGGATATCTTTAATAATCCTAAGCTAATCAATAAATCATTTGCATTCATTGATGATTTATTGATTAGGGTTGAATGTGAATGACAGAAAACTCCAAATAACAATGGCTTAATAAAGATAGAAGTTTATTTTTTGTCTTCATGAAAGTAAGTAGATTTATAAAAGACCAGAAGAACTGTCCATGGTGTCAAGGAATTTGGCTGTTTCTCTATTTGGACTTCGTGGTCCAAGAAGTATTGTGGTGAAATGAAGTGAAAGCCAAAGAGTGCATATCCTAACCTACCTTTTAAATAGGATGTAGGTAGGAGTATTATGTGGCAGTTTCCTTCTTACATCTGTAAAAAATTCTCAGCATTTCCTTTGTCTTTAAAAAATAATTGAAACTTTTGAAAAGTAAAGACCAGTTGTTTTTTAGAATGTCCCTCCTTTAATTTAGGTTTCTCTAATACTGTTCCCTCATGATTATATTCAGCTTATGAATTTTTGACTGGAATAGAACATGAATGATATTTTTGTCCTTAAGTTATCATATTCAGAGGTATGTTATCTATTTACTCTTATTGGTCAAACTAATTTTAACCACTTGCCTATATTTTTGTTACATTCCTCCAGTGTATGGTTATTGTTTTTCCTTTGACAGTTAATGAGTAAATTGTGAAGAGAAACTTTGATACTGAGTAAATATTGTTTCTCATTAAATTTTCCCTCCTATATTAGTATCCATTGATGATTCTTGCCTGAATCAAATTTTATTATGATGGTTGTAAAATGATGATTTCCTAACTGCATCATTACTTCTGTATTACTGGCATTCTACTACAAGGAAGAGCTTTCTCCTTTTTGAATTCAACTTTTAGAAATTATCTCTTGATTTACAGCTATGACAGAAGAAAAAAAATATTTACATAACTCACAAGTCCTTCATCTCCTTTCCCCCATCTTCCCAATAAAGTGACACTATTTTTAGTTCCTCCATTGCTCATGCTTATGACTTAAATATATGACAATTTTTTTCTTGTTCCTTCAATTGTCTATAATATCTCTTGATTTTCTGTTTTGTAAAATGAGGATTTTTTTTGTCCATGCTCTTTCCTTTAGGTCTCTTCCCCTATTCTACTCCCTAACTTCTGTCAATTATAATTTTACATTATTAAGGTTATTTACATGATGTTTTATAACTATTATTAAGTCATTATAAGGTTATCCAGTTCCCCATCAATTTTCCATTTACTGACTTTTGCATTCATTGATGATCCTTGCCTGAATTCATTATTTCATTAGGACTGGCAAAATACTGATATTTAAAATTAGAATATTTGTTATACATTTAATTAGCTACAGGGTCTATTATTCTAATCATTCTGATTGTTGTAAAGGACAGCTTCAGTGTTTTCACTTAAGCTTTTAAAGGCTCCCCATTGCCTCACAAATCAAGTTCTAATCCTTCAGTGTTATATAAGGCTTTTCTTATTGTGTATCCCAGCTTTACTTCCCTTACCCCTCTAGGTACTCTATGATCCTGGAAAGTGTTCTTGTGTTCCTCAAAGGATCCCCACTCATCCCTGCTTCTCCGTCTTTGTTCTTGCTTTTCTATCAAGATTGTTCTCACTCCTGCGGAAATTTTATCCAACATCCTTACAGTGGCATCAGTCTTACACAGGGTCTTACACACTATGGTCTCCATATCCTCAGGCTTCATGCCTGCTGCTTTTCCTCTCTCATTCTAGTCAGACTGTACCTCAAACACACCATTCATGTCTCCATGTCAGGCCTGTGCACCTGCTGTACCCCATCCGTCTAGATATGCATGGCTCTCTCTGTCTCCAGCTCTTTCAAACATTTGCTCAAATGTCACTTTTTGGTGAGGCTTTCCCAACCACTCTGAAACTTCAACATCTCCTTTACCCTCCTTACACTCAGATATTTTTATGCATTTTGTTCACTGCTGAATCCTTATAGCTAGAATAATGTTCGAAACTTAGCAGATATCCAATAAATGTCTAAAATATTTAAATAAATTTGTGGAATGAATGAATGACCAAACCTGCACTCTCGTGAATTTGTTGGTTGTTGAATGAATCAATCAAATTTTCAAAAACCATCTCAAATACCATCTCTTTTTGGAAAGTTTTTTCTGGTCTCTTGGGTAATCTCTATTCCAGATGATCTCTGGATTCTTCAATTCACATAGAAAATATTTATACTTTGTCATGACACTTAAAATTATCTTATACTTACTAAATAATGAGTAGATGCTAATTTATTTGTATCCTCAGAAATATGTGGCACATAGGGGCACCAAATAAATACACATCTAATTAAAATACAAATACAAAGATAAATTCATTTCCTTTGTTTTCTTCTTATTCTTTGGCCTTTTCCTCTTCTACCTTGAACTT